TTTCTTCTTTGAGGAATTTTCTGTTTATCTCTTCTCCCAACTTTTTTATAGGGTTGGATGTTTTATTTAGATCTTTCACAATGCATGTTTCCCTTCATTCCAGTACCCCTAACCCTACACCTTCACTTCTAGTAACCACTAAGAGGTCTTATAGTCTGAAAGTTTAATTTTGCTTTATTTAGTTAATCTGTTTGCTTACTCTGTACAACAATATGAGAGAAAGCATATGCTAGCTGTTTTTCAACATCTGGCTTATTTCACTAAGTGTGATACCCTCTAGGTTCATCCATGTTGCTACAAGTGGAAGGATTTCATCATTTTTAGTAGTATTCCATTGCCTATATATACCACATCTTCTTTACTCATTTATGATTTCTTGGGATGTCTACTGGAAATATGTGAAACAGAATCATAAATCTGTTTAACCTCAAAAGAACCCCCAGAAAGGCAATGGAATGTGATATCTTTTGCATTAAATCAGGTAGGACTCCAGATCTACAACTGTGGTTGGTGACTTTGAAGTTGTTGGGGAATACAGAAAGCAGAAATCCCATGAAGTAATGATGGTTGGAGGGATTGCTCAAGATGGGAGATATGTGCTAAAAGTAGATAAAGGACCAAACATGATGACCTTTCAGTATCTGTATTGTAAACCATAATGCCCAAAAGTAGAGGGAGTAAGAGGGAAATTGTCTGCCACAGAGTCAGGGGAAGGGGTGGGACGGGGGCATTGGTGGACACTGGGGACATTGGTGGTGGAAAATATACACTGGTGGGGAGATGGGTGTTCTATCATTGTATGACTGAAAGTCAAATATGAAATCTTTGTAACTCACGTTGTTTCAATTTTTAAAAAAGTCCAGTTAGGTACATGCCCTTTCACCTTCATCACTGTGCAATTTATTACATCATAAAGACACATGTATTATTTACTTCCTATCCTTCTGAAACCAATTATATATATTATTTTATTTGACATTCACAAAGCAACCCCAAAGCAGTATGCACTGATTAAAATTATTCACTTGCTTTATCATTATTTTCCTCCTCCCAGAAGTGACCAACTGAATTTGCAGAAGCATTCCCATCTTCTTTTCAAGGTCCATCCCATGTCACCTTGCTCCACAACCCAACCTTATACTCCCCAGATCAGTCTTCTCATTGCTTTCTGAATCCATGTAGCACTGTGCACCTTAAACTACTTTGTGTATAAATACTTAAACTACTTAAACACCTTAAACTACTTTGTGTAAAATACTTTGTGTATTAGTCATTTTGTGTATTAGTATTTGTGTATTAGTCACTTGTATTAACACCTACCCTCTCTGCCACATCTTTTCACTAAATCCAAAAACTCTTCTAAAGGGAAAATGAATGAAGGAATCGTTACTTTGCATTTACAGTCTTATTTTTAAATCTGTTTAATTTGTTATGGAAAATCTTTCTGTGCATGTTTATACGAAGAGAAAAAAGGAATATAAAACCCATCACTCAACTTCAACACATGAACAATATTGTCACATATTTATTCATTCTGACTTCTTGCACTGCATCATTTTATTTATTTGTTATGCTTTTAAAACCTTCCCCTTCATTTTTATAGTTTTGATTATGATATGGTTACACACATACATGACTGTGAAGGTTTCCCATTTAGCTGTGATGCTAGTGAGTGGGGTTAGGTGGTGGAATTTTCAAATCAAGTTGAGGTCGATGAACAGTGAGCTGAGGTGCTCATTGAAGTTTTCATTCCTTTAGTGGTGGTGCTTACAAAATGATACAGGGACTTAAATGGTACTGCTCGGGGGGAGGGGTGTCACAGTGGTTCTCATACATGAGGTTCACAAGGATCACACTTTCTAGCTGTGGTGCTCACACATTTTGTTTGTCTGTTTGTGGATACACATACAACAATGCCTCATGATACTGCCCAGTAGAGCTTGGGGGACCATGTGTTCAAATAGTTTTTGCTGCGTTGCTAGCAGAGAATCACATACCTTTCTACTGCTTACACACATGACTGTAGTAACACCAGAAATTGCTTACAGCACCAAGGATGGAAGACAACAGAGATGCTGAGCTCTTGCTGGGGGGCATGTAGCAGTATAGTGGACTTGAATTAAGCCACTGAGCTATTCCTTCGAACTCCTAAAGAAAGTCACTCCCTTCAGTCCCAATTTACCATGTGTGTTACTACTGAACCACATGTCTGACTCCACTGAATTACTTGGGAAGGAGGTTGTTTGCTTTGGGGGGCACACCCTGTGGTTCTCAAGGCTTACTCCTGACTCTGTGCTCAAGAATAATTCCTAGCAGTAATTGGGATACCATATGTACTCCAGGATTAAATCCTGGTCAGCTGCATACAAGGTAAGCACCCCACCTGTTGTACTACATCTCTAGTTTCATGTATTATTATTATTATTATTATTATTATTATTGTAGCACTGTACTGTCCTCCCATTGTTCATCGATTTTCTCAAGTGGGCCCAGTAACATCTCCATTGTGAGACTTGTTGTTACTGTGTTTGACATATTGAATACCTCTCAGGTAGCTTGCCAGGCTCTGCCGTGTGGGGGAGATACTCTCAGTAGTTTGCCAGGCTCTCCAAGGGGGAGGCGGAGGAATCGAACCCAGGTCAGCCATGTTGGCCGCGTGCAAGGCAAACGCCCTACCAGCTATGCTATTGCTCCAGCCCTTATTATTATTATTATTATTATTATTATTATTATTATTATTAGGGCTGGAGCGATAGCTCAGCAGTAGGGCGTTTGCCTTGCACGCAGTCAACATGGCCGACTCCAGTTCGATTCCTCCGCCCCTCTAGGAGAGCCCGGCAAGCTACCGAGAGGATCTCACCCGCTCGGCAGAGCCTGGCAAGCTACCCCTGACGTATTCGATATGCCAAACACAGTAACAACAAAGTCTCACAATGGAGACATTACTGGGCCCGCTCGAGAAAATCAATGAACAACGGGAGGACTTTATTATTATTATTATTATTATTATTATTATTATTATTATTATTATGCAGAGCCTGGCAAGCTCCCTGTGGTGTATTCGATATGCCAAAAACAGTAACTAGTCTCACAATGGAGATGTTACTGATGCCCGCTCAAGCAAATCGATGAACAATGGGAGAACAGTGTAATGCTATTATTCTTATTAGTTTTGGGGTCACATAAAATAAGCCTGTGCCCCAGCTCATTGAGTTCTCTCCAGTCATCCACTAGATTATTTTAAAGCAAAGTCTAGATTGCCTGCCATTTCATATGTAAATACTCCTATATAGACACTATATTTTGCATTTCTGGGTCCTCCACAATGGGAAAACTATTTGCATCTGTATTCTCTGCTAGTCAGAGCAGTTAGAAGCTGCTTTCTTTGCACCAATTGTGTGGCCGACCTTGTACTTATTCTGGAGGCTCTGATCTAGCAGGGCATATCAGTAACAAGCCATTTTGTTTCAAATCAAGAATAGTTATTTTTCCAAGGTATGAGCACAATGTACATGTAGGAGTAGATGAGAAAGTCCTTAAATTGTTCTAACTCCCTTGAGTTTTTGAGTTCGAACTCACTGGGGTCACGAGTTGTCCAACAGGAGGTACTGTAAAGGCGGGGTGGGTGGGAGTGTGCTGGTACTCCCTAGGCTCAGTTTCTGCAAGAGCCAGGAAATTGGATCAAGGTCGCTGGTCGTGCATATTGCAGTTCAATAGACTGGCTGGATCCTGAGCTCCAGGGCTTAGAGGGGCCCGAGGTTTCTCGTGATCAGCAGCGCTACGGGAGTCGGAACACCTGCCTCCTCAGTCTTCTTGACGCTGCCATTAGCCCTGACTACCGCCAGTTCCCGCCCCAAGTGCTGGTCTCCCTGATAGAAGATCGCTACGCTGGACCTAAAGAGGACCTAGTGAGGAAACACCTGTTTCTAACAAGTAAAGGGGGGGGGAGCCCCCAGCAGGCCTCTCATCGAACTTGCTCCCGAGAACCTTGTAAAAGCGCGCCTAGAAAGCCTTGTGTAGATCGTTTTTCAAAAAGATCGCTTTCAGTGTTTTATCCCCCACCTACTCCCTCCCAGCTGTAAAGTCCCTTTAAAAAAAGTCTTCTGTGGGGGTTCCCCCTCCTCCCAAACCCCTTAAGCGCACCACTCCCGCCTTGGTGCCTGCAGGGACCAGCACCATCTCAATCCTAAATTTTGCAGCTGCATTCGCTTCCGGATTTTTCACTTCCTCAAGTCTCCTGCCGACCTACAGGTGGGGAGTGGGGAGGAGGGTGGGGAGCAATAGAACAAAGAAACCCGGGATCCCCTATCCCAAGCCAGGCACCCCTCCTTCAGACTCAGATGAACTGAGGAAAAAGAGTGGCTCCGCAGCGCGTGTACCGGCCCCCTAGCTGGACCCTCACTCCACTTTCCCAAGACTAGGAACCCAAAGACTGTGAGCGGCGGGGACAGCCCCCGCGCAGCACACAGACCTCCACGCAACAGGCCCGAGTGGCCGTGGACGCCAACAGCCTCCCCGCACTGGGCTCCGTTATTTCATCAGCAGTTTCAGAAAAACCTGCCAAAAGCAGTTATGCCTCACTGCAATGTGTAGCTTTTTCCTGCCATTTTTTCATAATAAAAGGAGTGAAGCTTGTTCGCCCGTTCGCCCCCTCCTTCCTCCACCCCCTCCCAAAAAGAGCCAAAAGGATAGAAGTGGGGGAAGAAACCCACACGCCAATCTCCAAGGGGATGCCAGTGAGGTGTGGCTTGTATTTAAATATCCAATATGTCAATGTAAGGGGAGTGGGTATGTATATAAAGTGCCGTTGCATCCGATAGCGCTATGAGAGGCCTGGGGATGCAGAGGGGACGCGGCACTGTGACTGAGAGCAAGGTCAAGAGCGCGCTGCACCACGCTCCCTACAGCTGAGAAGTTCCTTGGACGCGAACAGACTTCGACTGCTGCTAGGCAGAGCGCGGAGCAAGCCAGCGAGCCAGGAGCACCGCCGCCGAATCGCCCGCGCCCGCTGCGGGGAACGACAGTTCGCGCCCCGTAGTCCCGGCTCAGCCCTGAGCGCCCAGCCATGGCGGAGGTGGGGGGAGTCCTTGCCTCTTTGGACTGGGATCTGCATGGCTTTTCCTCATCTCTGGGGAACGTACCCTTAGCTGACTCCCCAGGTTTCCTGAACGAGCGCCTGGGCCAGATCGAGGGGAAGCTGCAGCGCGGCTCACCCACAGACTTCGCCCACCTGAAGGGGATCCTGCGGCGGCGCCAGCTCTACTGCCGCACCGGCTTCCACCTAGAGATCTTCCCCAACGGCACGGTGCATGGCACTCGCCTCGACCACAGCCGCTTCGGTGAGGACGCGGCCGGGAGGGACTGTAGGCGAGCAAACGGCGCACTCCGCTCTCCCGCTTGGGGCCTGCGGACAGCCCCCCCACCCCCCATTCGGTGCTTTCTGAGTGCGTCGAGGGCGGAGGCCGCTGGGGCGCACCGCAGGAGGGATGCGAAAGTGCGGAGTTGAGCCGCTCGGGTGTCAGGACGCCTGGCACCCCTAGATGCTCTCGGGAGGGGCGGGGGCTCCTAGCGGTGTGACCTCGCGTTTCCCCTTGCACCCTCCCTTCCCCTAAGCCTAGGGGTGAAGGGCTGCTTCTTGGGGACCTGGGCGCTGAGCATTGGGCAAAAGCAGGTGAAACTGGGGGAAGGAGGCCGGCTGGTGAGGACGTCAGGGACCGTGGATGTAGCAGAGGACGGAGCCTCGAGAGCTGCAGGGTTGTCGAGGCCTGTTGCCTGGAGCAGGAGTCTTCAGGGCCATGGACTTGGTGGGTTCGCGGCTTGCTACCAAGTCTCTTTTGGTGGGCAGGGACTCGGCTCCTGGCACATGACTGCTTCTCAGTTCGGGGTTAGGGGGCGGGAGCTCAACAAAGCAGGCAGTGCCACAATAAGGGGTATCAGAATCTAAGAAAGCCTCTCGGTGTCCTCCCTGTAACAGAAAAAGTCTGGAGGCAACTTCTGCTGGGAGCCAACTCTGCACTCCTTGCCTCAGAGAGGAACCGGTCCTCGGTCCACTCCCTAGATAGAACTGGGCCCAGGACATAAAGCCACCAAACTCCACTCAGGATTTTCTCTGCCTGACACTCTGCAGATTGCTCAAAGGTGTCTGTTTCACAGACAACAACAGATTTCAAAGCAAATCTATTTTTCAATTCCTCCAGTAATTTGGCCATTTTTTATTTTCGGTTTTCTATTCTCCAGTTAACTATTATTCTGGTGAAGTGATAGTTACTCTTTCTAGCCCTGTTTACCTCCCAATTCCCTCTCCCTTCTCCCAAGGATCATAAGACCAAGGAAGACCCTTTCTCTCCCAAAGACAGTAAGAGATTTTACCTAGCCACAGGCAGTACACCATTCCTTTTTCTTTCCCACTCCCCCAAATCTCCCCATCCTCCTATTCCCCATGCCTTCCTAAAGCTCCTAATGTGTATCTGGAATGCACAGCAAAAAAAGTGGGAGGGGGAGCACTCAGGACTGTTGCTGGGCAAGGCAAAGTCTAGCAAACAGCTTAGGGCCAGCACTGATCTTCCTAGCTGGGAGCAAGCAGGAAACCTAATGAGGTCTATGTCATCTTGGAAAAATGCACTCACAGAGCTGGAGTACAGTAGGTTGGGTGTGGGGTGTGGGTAATGGAGGGGTTCAGGTGTCTATATAAACTTGCAGCAGGTCCTCAAAAGGGTGATAAGGTGGGGTAAGGGGAGAATATTAACTTGGCTCCCATCCCTCACTCTGTGGTCCCCTTTTGTTCCTCTTCAGAAAGAATGGGAGTTCCACCCAGGCTTTAGAGCCTGGCAGAGGCTTCCAGAAACAGCCTGAATACATTGCAGTAACTTGTTGCTGATCTATAAAAGAAAAGTCATGAAATGATGAAGAAATGTGGGATGGGGGCAATAGAAGGGGAGAAACTATGAGCTTGAGTCCCTTCGGCTACCAGTGTTAGTCTCTCTACCTAACCTCAGCCCAATACCCTACAAGCTCAGTGTAAATCAGTAAAATATTTTGGGAATAAGTGGTCTTTAATTACCACCATAAGGAGGACTGTTCTCTTCTTTCTCTCTTCCTCTCTCTCTCGGCTTGCTAAGGGGGTTATGTTTAGGGAGAAATCAAAAAAATAAAACTGGACAGAAGAGATGTTTCAACTGTTGCTGAACTGGCTACTTATTTTGGGGTTTGTCTTTTAAAAAAAACAGTGCCTGAGACCACCTCTGTATCACCTTTTTCTCTTTCCTCCTTCCCTGACTTCCCAGCAGTTTCATGTCTTTCCTGTAAAGTAAATGATAACCAGTCAAAGCTGTCTCTTTGAAACCCTCCCGACCAACTCTCAAACACACGTTTACTCTTTCTCAGTTTAGCTTTTGGCAGAGAAAGAGGTGGTGTTTGAATTTGCTAACTCTCTCCTCCCTCCACATTTCAGTTAATCAGCCAGGGTATTCAATAAATCGAAACTTTAGCATTCCACGAGTGCTTTAGCAGTCAACATTCCAGCAGGGTAAAGTAGGCCAGACTTAAGAAATAAAATATTATAGATTTCTGCTTGGGGGGAGGAGGTAGTCTCTAAAGGCCATGTAAAGTAAATAGCTATTTGTTGTAATTGGAGAGCAGGGTCCCCAAGGATTACCCTGGAATTCATGTGTTCAGAACAAGTCAGGCTGAGCCCAAGAGCAGCCCCAACTCTAAATAATAACCTGTTGGCACAGCATATACTCCCCCTCCCTCCCATTCTGTATTCAGTAGCCAGAAGTATTTCAATGTCTGCTTGGCTGAGGCATTTACATGAGGTTCACAGGAATACTGACATTCCTGAGGGGGCACCTGTGGACTTAGAATTTGGGAGCCAGACTGGAAGAGAGGCCTCCCGCCAGGTGGGATAGTGCAGGCTCCTGCAGCTGCTTTGATTTTTAAGCAATCTGATTCTTTTTGTTTGTTTGTTTGTTTGTTTGTTTGTTTGTGGGAAGGCACCACCGGTGGTACTCAGGGGTTACTCCTGGCTCTGCACTCAGTGATCACTCCTGGCGTTTCTCAGGGGACCATATAGAGCCATCAAATCTGAGATGGCCGCATGCAAGGCAAGCCCCCTACCCACTGTACTATCATTCCAGCCACAGTGATCTGATTTTTATTTAGCAAGATGCCAAGGTATCATTGCCTTATCCCCAAAAAGTCTGAAAAGATGATTCAAGGAGATCAGGAGAGATTAATTGGAACCAGATTAAATATCACAATACCAAACATTCAGCTAGATTTTTGAGCAGTGGACCCTAGGACAGATCAGTTTTGACTGAGTCCATAGGGAGAAAGGTCTAAGAAAAGTTGTCTGGAAATTGTCCAGCAAAGGTCAAAGCCTAAAGAGGACAGGTGAAGATGAGGCAGAGAAGAGGGAGATCCTGGGCCTTGAAGTGAGAGCACTGAGGATAAACTTTGTCTACTTAATACTGTGTCTCACCGCTTTACTGTTAACACCCTTCTCCAGCTGTAGCTGGGAAAATGTGAAATGGTTGCTTTCTCTCTCCCTTCATGTTGGCTGGGACTCAGAAGGCTTAGGAATATCTGTTCTCTCATCATGTACTACTGGGTTCCCACAGTTCAAATCAAGCTAATAGGAAAGTTGGAAGAGGGAAATAGTGCCCAGAGACAGCTGAGCAGGGATGGTTCCAGCTTTTAGAGACCCCTGTTATTGGACACAACCCAAGTGACTTCCTGTATGATTTGTCCTTTGGCATGAGGGTTAACAGAGAGTTGGAGTAAAAAACTGGTGACTCAAATGGCCACACCTCTTGGGTTTCATGATTTGTTCTCACAGCAGGTCTTGGATGGTGAGATCACAAACTGCTCTTTGCTTCTAAGTGATCTCAGAGTGGTCAGAGATATGAGATAATCAGAGAATGAAAGAACTAAGTTTTGAAGGTCCTGAGTAATCAGTCTAAACAGAACACTGAAGACTCCATCAGGTTGATACTTCTCAACATTTAGCACCCAGAAGTGAGTCATGACCTGATTTCTAATTTTCTTGCTATATTAGTTCCTCTTCTTTGAATATGCTTTTGTTTTTCTATAAGCCCACTCTAAAATATCATTCTTGGGGCTGAAAAGATAATGTTTAAAGTTTTTGCCTTGCATACAACAAAACATGGTTCAATCCCCAGCATCATGTATGGTCCCCTAGGCAGTAGCATGAGTGATCCCTGAATCATAAGTAAGCCCTGAGTCCCACCAGGTATAGGAACTCCCCCCACCCAAAAGGCACACACATACATAATGTTCATTGTGGTCTACCCAAGACAGAACATAGTGGGACAATCCTTTATGCCAGTTACTAGACTTCTGTCAATGCAGTCTTAGATCACCTTAGCTTTTTTCTTACTTTATATTAGTTTATCTTATTTTACATTAATAGTTTAAAAATTATTTTATATGACTAGTTTTACATTAGTTTTTAAATTTGTGCATCAGTCATACTTACCTCATGCCATAAAATCTGTTAAGCCTAAATTTTATGCCCCCACTCTAGAGATGTGCAGACTTGCACTTAATTACAATTCACAGAAACACAAAATAAAATTGCATTTTTCAGAAAATAGAAACATGACTGCCTAAAGTGGGAAGGTGGATGGAAGAAAAATGTGGGAGCAAAAAAAATAGATAAATTGGCCCTTACACAGACCAATTGTGATAGTAGACCATGAACTAAGGAAAATGATTAACTCAACTGCGCACTTGAGGCTCACTCTCCCCCAACAAAACCTCAAACAAAATGTATTGGGTAATTGGTTTGGGAACTAAAATGTTGAACTTTACATTAATTCTATCTCATTTAACTCATTTGGTATAGTCAGCCCATTTTTCCATTCTCTTAAAGTCTCTTTGGATTTTGGTTGTGTCACCCTTCCAGTTATATGTCTTTTGGAACTAAAGTAAATGCTCCCCTTCGTGTCCTCTTACAAGTCATATATTAAAGTCTTGAACAGAGTAGACCAGAAAATAGAACCTTGTGTGCAGTTAGTAAAGGGTTGGTCCATTAAACCAGTAGTTACTTTAATTTTTTCACATTTGGCAATAGATATTTTCTCTTTCCTTCCTATCACCTTTTGTTCATGTCTTTCCCCCAAACTCCTTTCTTTGTCTATAAAACTTAGTAATTGGACTCACAATAAAACTCGAAGCATTTCTATGCTGGAAGCCAAAGGTCACACTCTGAGTGTTCCATACAAAGTCAGCCTTAAGGTTTCATGCAAAGTCGACCTTACATTCTTCCAGTTACATCCCAATCGAAGAAAGATGTGCCCTGAAGCAGCTAGACTCACCCAGCAGCCTCAATCACAGGGATCTTCTGAAGTTTTCCTACTGGAGGTTTTTGCTTTTGTTTTGTTTTGTTTTCATTTTCGTTTTCATTTGTGTCTCTCTATTTTATTTTATTTTTATTAGTGATACACCATGAGGTTCACTTGTAGACTTACAAATTTTGGTGCTTGGATTTCAGTTATACGATGATCAAGTACCCATCCCTCCACCAGTGCCCATTTTCCACCACCAATGATCCCAGTATCCCTCCCACCTCCCCATCCCCCATCCCACCCCACCTCTGTTGCAGGGCATTCACTTTTGTTCTTTCTCTCCTTTTGGGTGCTGTGGTTTGCAAAAGAGGTATTAAGTGGAAATCATGTTCGGTCTATAGTCTACTTTCAGCATGCATCTCCCATCCTGGGAGGATCCTCCCAACACTCTTTACTTGGCGCTCCCTTCTCTGAGCTTCTTTTTCCCCTAGTATGTGCAGCTGGCCTCCAAGCCATGGAGTGAACCTCCTGGTAATTATCACGGCTATTCTTGGGTGTTAGTCTCCTATTTTGTTACTTTATATACTCCCCAGATGAATGCAATCTTTCTATGTTCCTCTCTTTCTGACTCATTTCACTTAGCATGATACTTTCCATGTAGTACCAATTCTATGTAAATTTCATGACTTTATCTTTTCTAAGAGCTGCATAGTACTCCATTGTGTAGATGTACCAAAGTTTCTTTAACCAGTCATCTGTTCTCTGGCATTCAGGTTTTTATTTTCCAGATTTTGGCTATTGTGAACAGTGCAGCAATGAACAAACAAGTGCAGATGTCATTTCGACCGTACTTTTTTGCCTCTCTGGGATATATACCCAGGAGTGATATTGCTGGGTCAAATGGGAGCTCAATTTCTAATTTTTTGAGAATCGTCTATGCTGTTTTCCAAAAGGGCTGAACCAGTTGGTATTCCCACCAGCAGTGAAGGAGGGTCCCTTTCTCACCACACATCCAAAAGAACAAAAGCAACCGGTGTTGGCATGGTTTTGCTTTGTTCTGAAGCCACACCTGACAGTGCTCAGGCCTTACTCCTTGTAATGCTCAAGGGACTATATGTAGTGCCCATGCAAGGGATCAAACCAGGTCTGGCTGTGTACAAGGTAAGTGACTTAACCTCTATTCTATCTCTCTGCCCCCCTTATTGAGTTTTTAAAACTTATTTCAAAATTTGCCATTTTAAAATGGGGGGGGAAGTAAGAAGTGTATGCAAGGTTATAAGGGGCAAGGGTCAGGGCTTTGGATACATCAATGGTGTAGAGGTGACGTATGTGTGTGAAACTAAACCACATTGGCTCTGAGTGAATGAGACCCAAACTACAAATTGGCTCTGAGAATGAGAACCAAACTATAATAGTTAATATTAAAATTTCATCTGTTAAGAAGGAAAACTGGGTCAGGGGAAGGGAAGCGGGGAACATTGGTGGAGGGAGGTTGACACTTATGGCAGGATTGTTGTTGCAACATCATATACCTGAAAATCCAGCATGGACACAATTGTAAATAATGGTACCTAAATAAAAATTTTATTTAAAAAATTAATTAAATATCACTTTATTTTGAGTGAACTTTAAGGAATCAGTCTCACTATATATGTGTGTGTATATATATTATACAGAGTATTATTACCATTACAATTGCATTCTTGGACTAACAAAGAACCAGATATGAGTTCATTTCATGCCTGTTAACTATATCAGGTTTTGGGCTGTATGTTGAAAACATGGCTAGAGCTGGAGCGATATTACAGTGGGTAGGGTATTTGCCTTGCACGCAGTCGATCCGGATTAGACTCCCAGCATCACATATGGTCCCCCGAGCACTGCCAGGAGTAATTCCTGAGTGCAAAGCCAGAAGTAACCCCTATGCATCGCTGGATGTGATCCAAAAAGAAAAAGAAAAAAGAAATAAAAGAAACAGCTGTTTCACTTAATACCTACAATGCAAACCACAACATCCTAAAGGAGAGAGAGAGTAAAAGGAATTTTGTCTGCCACAGGTGGGGGGGGATGGGAAGGGGGTGATGGGAGGGATATTGGGAACATTGGTGGTGGAGAATGGGCACTGGTGGAGAGACGGGTACTCGAACATTGTATGGTTGAAATGTAAGAACAAAAGTGTATAGATCTGTAACTGTATCTCTTATGATTCAATTAAAAAATTTAAAAAAAAGAAAACATGGCTAGAGACCAGAATACCAAAGAAAACTCAAGTTCACCATTATTTCTGTGCCCTTATGATAGGGGTGCTATTTTAGAACAAAATTGTAACGTATTCAGAATCACCAGGATTTCAGTTTGAGCTTCTTTATCCCCTCTTGTTTATTTCTTTTTTTTTCCTCTTGCTGCTAGACAACTGAAACTTTTTTCAAATTCTCACCTCTAACCTTGTCAGTGAGAGGGATAATTCTGAATTTCTTCCCATTCCCTTAAGGTTGCAACATCTAAAATCAGCGTCAAGTCCAATGCTACCTGCCAACTTTTTGCCATAGAAAAACATAAAAGTCTAAAGGGGAAATGACAAGCTTGTCAGCAGTGTGTGGGGTGGGGTTTCGGGGGGTCGGGAGGGAGGCTTACTGGCTGAGAGCATTTTTTAGGAGATAGATCTCACCAGGCCAAGTTTTGCCTCCTGCCACAAGCAGGAGGAACAAACTTAGTGAGTAGCCTGTGTGGCTTTTGTTAGAGTCAGCTGCAGAGAGTTGACAGCCTCATGTGGCTTTAAGGGCACGGGAGCTCAAAAGATACAAAACAAGTTCAGCTTGGAGAACAATAAAGCAATGAATGCTGTGTGCTCTGGATAGAAAGGATGTAACTTTGGGGAGATACAGAACTGGCATTCAATGATATTTAATTTTACCTTGCCCTTATGGAGCTTTTGTAGCCAAAACCAGGTGAAGGCCTCTTCCTAGTGATATACCTGAGTGTTGAGTAGAGACAGATTGTTTCCCCTATTTTACTTAGAGAACTGAGACAGAGTCAGTGACTTTTCCAGTATTCCATTCTTAACTGAAAACAATGGCTTTACCAGGTAATTTACCAAAGGCACATAAGGTCTATCTCCAGCTGGAGATAGATGACTGGGTGATCAAATCACCTGCACAGCTTCCCCTTAGTTTGATGACAGTAATGAAAATGACATTCACTTTATTTTTCCTTCAGGGATCCTGGAATTTATCAGCCTGGCTGTGGGGTTAATAAGCATTCGAGGAGTGGATTCTGGCCTATACTTAGGAATGAACGAGCGAGGAGAGCTCTATGGGTCGGTAAGTTTAAGGTTTTCTTTCATCATAGGATATTACCACCAGTGTTTGGAATACCTAAGGCAAAAGTAGAATAACATTTATTTAGTATTGGAAAGTACTTTTGCCAGTTGCACAAGATTAGTGTCTTCTAGCCACATCTTGGATGCCCAGGAACTTGCCATGTAACACTTTTAGCTCCCAGAAAAACAAGATTTTCTGTATTCCATTTGCTTTTGCCTTTTCCATTAGCTTTCCAGTTAGTCTGATACTAAGAGGAATCTGTACTGGTTTGTCAGTGGCAATGTTTGGGGCAATAACCATCCCAAGGAGCTCTCACCAAGGAAAGTTTTAACACTTGCCCAGACGAGTCACAGGCTATCTGACAAGAAAACAGGCACTGGTTGGGGAGGAGTGATAAGACTGTGGGTAGGTCACACAGCGAACCCTGGTTTGATCTCTTGCATGGGCACTACATATGGTGCCTTGAGCATCTCTAGGAATAAGCCCTGAACACAGTCAGGTATGTCCAAAAGGAAGAAAAAAAACAGGCAAGTGTAATAACTGGCCTTCACATTGAGGGGTTTTATTTCCCTTTTTGACCCACATCTAGCAGTGCTCTGGGTCATGGTACTTGGGGAAACTTGTGGTGCCAGGGATTGAACCTGTGACTCCCGCACACAAAGCACATGCTCTAGTCCTTTGAGCTATCTCCCTGGCCCTACACTAAGGATTCTAAGATTAACAACATAGTCCCTGATTTCCAGATTGCTTCAGCTGAATTCCAAGGGCCAAATGAAATAAACCAATGAAGAATGAGGGTTCCAGGGTCTGTTGACAGTCCTAAGTTCCCAGCTAGGACTGGGCAGGCTGCAGTGCATGTTCTCTATTCTGGAAGCTAGCCCGGAGCTAGGGAATGGTGAGTGATTTTGCTGACCTTAACCCTTTCGGGGTATCCCAATTCCTGGCTTTGACTTTTGAGTCACATAGCATGCTTGTACCCCATGAAATCAGAGCACATTTTTTTCTGACACCTAAGAGATAGGCCTGTCCCCAGCACTCAGTATCGTCAACCCCAGCAAGTAGTATGGCGTCCAGATTAAGTGTGAGAAGGGACAGAGGCAAGAGACCTAGGAGCTGCCAGCTTGAAGTAGCTAGATTGGGGGAACTTTTCAAGGAGATCTTTTCTGAGCTTCCCCTCTGACAGGCCTGAGATCCTTCATTAGGCAAGATCACAGCTCACCTCCCATGGAGCTTTATATAGAACAGGCCTTTGCCTGTCAGTTGACATGGTTGACTGTAATCTCAATGGATTTGAACATCATTAGCCCTAAGTAGGGGGAAGCACAAGGGTGTCAGGGGGGCATTGGGAGGCCAGAGCAGAAATTCTTGAGCCTGAAGGGCCAGGTAAGGCCATATCCCCTAGTCTCCTGCCTTCAAAATACATCTCACCTAAAACATGTTTGTGTCTTCTGAAAGAGGATGAAGGGAATACAGATATTGTCAGTAAAACTGGCAGATACAACTGAAATTTTCTCATTGAAATATGCTGTGCTATTTCAGAGTTTCTCCGCTAGTAGCTGGGATGGGAGAAATTCATATAATGGGCTCTGCTTTATTTTCTCACCCTCACAGAAGAAACTCACACATGAATGTGTTTTCCGGGAACAGTTTGAAGAAAACTGGTACAACACCTATGCTTCCACCTTGTACAAACACACGGATTCGGAGAGACAATATTATGTGGCCCTGAATAAAGACGGCTCACCCCGAGAGGGATACAGGACTAAACGACATCAGAAATTTACTCACTTTTTGCCCAGGCCAGTAGATCCTTCTAAGTTACCTGCCATGTCCAGGGACTTCTTCCGCTATAGGTAACGAACCCCTAGTGTAACCCCTGTGACCCATGTACTGCGGGGCAATGACTGTCTTTACAAGCACCATACTCATAGCTTTGTCTATCAATTTAGATAACTGAGAAGCACTTACTGTTCAAACCAGCTGTTACTCCTGTTCAAAGTGTATATCAGAGTTGGGTTATTTTGGGGAGGGATATGGGGGGAGGGGCGTGCTAAAGGGAATCTTGTATATACTTCTTACTTTACTCATCTTATTTCCTCGGAGGTGGCATGAGAAGGAATAGCCCCCCTGCCAAAGGCCTGGGATGTCTTGCCGCACAATCTACCCAAATACTTTGACAATGGGTAAATGAAAGACCAAAGAATCTGCCATAGATGCTACCTAAAGAGCTTTGGGAAAGTCTCTTTCAAACAATTCTTGAGGCTACAGCCCTGCTGCAAGTCATATCTGCATTGGCTCTGCAGATTTCTCATCTGTCCTGACATGCAGTTTTCCTGCCATTGGAAGTGAGATATGGGTTTGTTGTAAGGAAACAACATTAAAGTGTAAGCATGGATACTGTGCATAAGGACAAACTATTTATGAAATGTATATGCTATTTATTTTATATATTTATTTATTTCAAAATAATTTTATTTTTCAAGAGATGTTATGACTGGATTTTCATCAGAAAGAATAAGGTCCTACTGAAACAGGATAAATGAGTCACTAAAGTCTTCTAATGGCAATAAAATTGTCTTTATACTGTAAACACTGGCTAATTCTATTGATGTGTACATTTTTTATGTAGGAGTACTGCTATTTATTCAGCCACTGATTAGCTGGTTGAATTGGGCACGAACTCCACCTTACTTTTTTTCATAATTTTATTTTTTCTTCTTATATTTATTTATTGAATCACTGTGGGAAAAGTTACAAAGCTTTCAGGTTTAAGTCTCGGTCATACCATGATCAAACACCTTTCTCTTCACTCATTTTTCACCACCAAGAACCACAATATACACCCCCTCCCACCCCTCCCAATGCCTGTGAGGCAGATGATTTCTACTTAACTCTTCTCTACATTGATTATATTCATTATTTCGACAAAAGATGCACCATTATTGTTTAGAATTCCCCCCCCAACAATCAGAATTGCTGAAAAGGTATTGTGAAATACTTTGTTTTCTATAGGTGGTTATGAGAATTATATAATGTTGCGTGGCCACAATAGTGGGCACGCGATTTTGGATTTCTGCAAAGAGCCAGATAATTACGAGATTGGTTTCTGTGCATCTGGTGCCAGAGAGCCACTCGTGGGGGCCAACTCGTGCCCTCAGTAGGGTGTGAAGGATGAGCCGGTACCGCCCCCCCCCTTCCCATGAGACTGCAGTTGCCCCGTCACCATCAGTTCATACCTGGCTTTCCTATAAGCTCTGAGGCAGCAGGCAGCCTGCTGCTGGAGGGGAAAAAGGCAGAAGGGAGCAACACCCTTTCCCTCCCAGGGAGGCATGGCGCCGTAGTTTAATGCATGGTCCATTCACTTTTCTGCCGCAAGCTGCTGGGCTCTGGATTAAAAGCTGGCAAAAGCTGCTGGGCTTTTGCCTGTGGAACCATGGCCGTGCTGAAGAGCCGCTCATGTGGGGCAACTCGCGATCTCGATAGGGCGTGATGGACAAGCCGGTACCGCCCCCCCTTCCCATGAGACTGCAGTTGCCCCGTCACCACCAGCTCATATCTGGCTTTCCAATAAGTTCTGAGGCGGCGGCCACCTTGCTGCTGGGAGGGGGGAGGGTTGATGCGTACATTTAACAGGGTTGAGGGGTGGTTAGCTTCTTTATCTTCAACTACAGCTTTATCATATTGCCTAGGATGGATGACTCATCATCCATAAGGTAAATATTATCTAAAGTCCAATTTTTTTTGGTTCTAGTGAACCAAAGCTTCAGGAAAACTTGGCCCATCAGCTCTTATTGAAGCTCCCATTTGTGATAAGAACTGGGCATAAAAAACCCTCCTTATGGCCCAAAGCCTGAAAATCAGGAGCCCTAATTGTGACCTCTAATTTTAGATATGAAGATGAAAATTAACATCAGTAAAGAGACTGATTATTTAAACCATACAACTTCCTTTGTGGAGGTGTTTTCCCACTCTTTTTTTAACTCCCCACACCCCACCCCCTTTCTATTTTTCTCCTAGAGTGTTCTGGGAAGCTGTCAGTATAACCTTCTGATGTAGTAGTTCTTAGAGTATATGGTTTCAGCATCCTCACCTGGGAACTTGTTAGAAATGTAAATTATCAGGCTTTAACCTGGATCTGTCAAATCAAACTCTGGGGGAGAGAATAGGGGCAACAAATCTTTGTATTATAAATCTTCTGTGGTATTCCTATACAGGGGATTCCATTTCTAAAGGAATAGTTGGTTTTTAAAAATTCTTTTTGAGAGGGCTGGAGAGATGGTATAGGAGGGAAGGTGTTTGCTTGCATGCTGCTGACTATAGCCCAATCCTTGCTACCAAATGTGGTCCCCTGAGCACTGCCAATAGTCACTCCTGAGCACAGAGTGAGGAGTAGCCCCTGAGTGTGCTAAGTGTGGCCCCCGAACCACAATAAATAAAATTATTTTCCAGTTAAATGTATTATAAGTAAAGTTTTAAGATAATTTATAAAACAAAAGTATAATGGTTCTTATTGAGGTCGAGGTGGCACATCTGGAGTTCCCTCTTCCTCAAGAGCCCCTGAGGTAGATTGGTTAAATTCCTTGTCTCTTGATTGATGTTTACTGAGGTTGCAAATTGCATTATTTATATCTTGTATTTTTGGTTTTGGGTCACACCCAGCAGTGCTCAAGTCGTACTCCTGACTCTACACTCAGTTATCTCTCTTGAGAGTGCTTGAGGAACCATATTTGGTGCCAGGGATTGAACCCATGATGGCTACATGCAAGACAAATGCCCTACCCACTGTACTGTAACTCGGACCCATGAAGTTATTTATATTTCAAGGTGAATTCTGTTAGAAAATAATCAAAGGACTAAAACTTCTATTGAGTAGTCAGGTACAGTGAAGGACTATTGGAGGGAAAAGTGGAAGAGACTGTGAAAGGACTATGTAAGTTTGGGATTTGGGTTAGTCCTTCCTTCCTAGTGCTCCTCTGTCAAATTGTGCAGGCAGCCATTACTTTTCCAACTGATTGTAAGAATGGGTGAAGCTAGGTAGATCTTAATTAGGAAATATTAGGTAGAAGCTCACTTAAAAATCAAAACTAAAATATCTATATAAGGAGTCAAGAATATAGCAGGATGATAATGTGTTTGCCTTGCGTGTATGAAGGCCTGAGATTTATCCTCAGTATAGAGAAAATAAGAAAAAATATATGAATAAAAAGCCAGTGCTTTTTATAGAAGTCTACCACAGGTTATCTAAATCTAAGTATCCAAGAGAGAAACCACACAGATGAAAATATATACTTGAGATAGGATATAGACTGTGACTAAAGTAGCATATTGTGTTAGTGAGATAGTACATCAGGTAAGACTCAGCAACACAGGTTGAATCCCTGGCACTGAATATGATCCTGTGAATACCACCAGGTGTGATCCCAAGTAACAATCCAAGAGTAAGAACTGAGCACCACCAACTGTTGTCCAAAGCCCTCTACAAAAGAAGTTACTACATTGCATGGTGTATATAACCACAGACTAGAATGCTCAGCAATGGAACCAACAAAAAAGAGATATCAGAGGACTAGGGTGAGGAGGGGGAAATTTTCTGGAAGGAGTAATACCTACAGTAGAAAACCAACATGATTTGAGGGAGTGACAAACAGATATTTGGTGGCAATATCTGTTTCAGGATATCTAGGCAGCTCTGGGAGAAGGGTAAATAATTAGCAACAATTTTATTATCACATTTTAAGGGTAATAAATCACAACATTTTTATTATCACATATTTAATAAATGTCACATTTATTTACTTAGGTTATAGTTCTGGGGATCAAACTCAGGATTTCACACACATAAGGCAAGTATTCTACCACTGAGCTTCTTCCCTAGCCCCTATCAATCATATCATTTAAAATTAAAATTTTGCCTACCTTGTTTATGTTAAGCTACTTATTTTTTCACAGCAACAAATACTGATGTGCGTGAGATATGCACATTTTTAATCCATAGGATTAAAGCTCTGTTTTAATCTATAAGACGCTAGTACTGCCTTGACAATGTGTCTTGCTAGTGTCATTCTAGTGAGGCATTTGCCATAGGAACCATACTACTAGAGAAAATTTACAAGGAAAATGCCACTGTAACTAGAAAAAGGAAAGACTCCAAATTCTAGAGACAGTTTTTATCTTTTTCAATTATGGTGCAAGAAGAGGGTTAAAGTCTAGAAGAATGAGTACAAGATCCCTAGGGAAGACTGCATAGAGTAAAACAAGTAAGACACTTATCTTGAATATGCACCAGACATGGGTTCAATCCCTGATTCTCAACATCATGTATTGTTCCCCAACCCACCACCAAAAGTTGTTCCTCACTGCAGACAGGGCCAGAAGCAAGCTGTGAGCACTGTGGTGCGTGATCCTAAAACCAACCCCCATGAAAAACCCAGGGTGTGGGGGCAATTTATTAGGGAGGCACTCTTAGAATTGAACTTTGAGAAATAACAATGAGTGAAATGTAGGGCAAGAAGATATCAATGGGCAGCTATTCTCATTTTCAAACATATCAATTCTGGAAATGAAACTGTAAACTGGATGACTTAGTCCCATTACAGCAACTGACAGCTGATTGACACCATATCCCCAAAACACTAAAGAAAAGGATTTTGTTCCAACTTAAAGATAATTTTAGAATATGTTCCAGATCTCTGGTTTTGAATGAAAACGTGCACAGAGACTATTTCTGATTTATCTTTTCATATCCCCTCCTCAGTGCTTAGGAAGCTCCTGGAATAAAGCACTTAGAAAATGTTTGTTGAATAAATAGATTGTTGAAAACACAAATGAGCAACTTAGTGATCAAAAAGTAGACACTTTCAGCAAATGTATACCTATGATACAAATGTTGAATTAGAAAGAAACGCATTATATT